AGGTGTTCAACCTTCTGAGAGAAGAAATTCCTCCTCATCTCCGTCTTAAATCAGCGCCCCTTTTTTATTCTGAGATTAACTTGCCATTCTTTCTCTAATATGACCTGAACGTGACCTCTCACCCACAGTTATGGGGATGACACTGCCTTCTGAAATGGCCAAGCAGGCCATTCAGTTTCAGCGCAATCGAGGATGCGCAACAAATGTTCATCATCTCGTCAGTGCTGCCATCATCTGTGAAGGTATCCCTAATGACACGTTTCAGTGACTTCCCTCAACTGGTGTTCATGGAAGATATCTGATAACAGATAATCAGACTAGAGAATTAAGCAGTGCGTAATGGCCGAAATTACAAGAAATTGGGAAGTGCCTGGAGCTAATTTTCTGTTGGCTCTCATTAAATACAGAAGTTTCATAAGCTAGTTGTATTCTGAGTCATTGGATTGTCTTTGTAAGTTTATTTACTTCACTTTGAGTAGTGAAAAGACGCTTAAATTCCTGATATTACTTAGCTCTTATGGAAATCCTAAAACCAGTGTGTATGAAATATTGGTGTACACGTATCAAGGAAGCTTAATTAGCGGTTGTAATTTTCCAAGTCTGGAGGACAAATCTAAAAGTGGAAGAAACAAATGCCATTTCTGTGCATGATTAAACTACCAATAATTTTAATGCTGGCTTTGAGGATTTGGCTCCAGCACACTTGGCTAATAAAATATATCAGAAGGAGCCCATGTGAAACAGCATGCAAGTTGGACTTGCGAAGCTGCCAAATTTGGAAAAACCGCTGTAGTCTTTGCTGTATAGAAACATCCACAGTGCTGTTTGTGCTACAAGAGGCACAACAGTAATTCAATATGGTCCCACCAACAACACCTTCCAAAGGCACAAACCTCTATTATCTCGAAGGGCATCACAACCTGCAAGTTCCCTTCCAAGCCCCACACCACTTGATTTGAAGGAACAGCAGAATAATTCCATTGCTGAATCATAATCCTGGAACTCCTTTTTTGCCTAGTAGTGCTTTGGGTGACTCTACACCCAAGGACTGTAGCAACTTAAGGCACTATTGCCACAACCTCCATTAGGAATGAGAAATAAGTTCTGTCTTAGTCAGTGATAGCCCCCTACTTTTTTGTGAACAAATTAGAAGAAAGACATGGGCAGCATTGTTAATGGGCAGTGGAATATGAACAAAGAACAAAGAAAATTACAGCACAGGAACAGGCCCTTCGGCCTTCCAAGCCTGCACCAATCCACATCCTCTATCTAAACCTGTCGCCTATTTTCCAAGGATCTGTATCCCTCTGCTCCTTGCCCATTCATGTATCTGTCTAGATACATCTTAAATGATACTCTCGTGCCCGCCTCTACCACTGCTGGCAACGCTTTCCAGGCACCCACCACCCCCTACGTAAAGAACTTTCCACGCATATCTCCCTTAAACTTTTCCCCTCTCACCTTTAAATAGTGACCCCTAGTAACTGAGTCCCCCACTCTGGGGGGAAAAAGCTTCTTGCTATCCACCCTGTCTATACCTCTCATGATTTTTGTAGACCTCAGTCAGGTTCCCCCTCAACCTCCGTCTTTCTAATGTAAATAATCCTAATCTACTCAATCTCTCTTCATAGCTAGCGCCCTCCATACCAGGCAACATCCTGGTGAACCTCCTCTGCACCCTCTCCAAAGCATCCACATCCTTTTGGTAATGTGGCGACCAGAACTGTATGCAGTATTCCAAATGTGTTCGAACCAAAGTCCTATACAACTGTAACATGACCTGCCAACTCTTGTACTCAATACCCCGTCTGATGAATGAAAGCATGCCGTATGCCTTCTTGACCACTCTATCGACCTCTGTCGGCCATACGGATGGACAGGTAAGTGTTGGAATGGATAGGTTAACAGGTAGTAAAGGCAGAAATATTTTAACAGGAGATGAGCTGAGACTTGTGAAGTAGAGTGATTTACAGAGGTGAAGATAGGGGTCTTGGTGTTGAATGGAAGTGTAATTGGCAAATCATCTTTAATTATGGTAAAGTTGTGACGCTCTGGTTTAGTACAGACTGTTGCCCTACAAAAATAAAAGCAAATTGCTGGAAAAGCTCAGCAGGCCTTACAGCATTTGTGGAGAGAAATGAGTTCATGTTTCAGGTCGAGTGACACTTCTTTGGGACACTGAACCCGAAACATTAGCTCTGATTTCTCACCATGGATGCTGCCAGACCCACATTTTTTTTTCAGCAATTTCTGTTTTTGTTTCTGATTTCCAGTATCTGCAGTTCTTTTGGCTTTTAAAGGAACAATTTCTCTTTGGAACAGAGTTTCGAGTACAGACTAAACAATGGTTCAAGTCTTTTCAGTATTTAATTCGAGGAAATTTCTGGAATTGGATAAATGACATGATTTAGCAACAGTGCTGGATTGAGAGAGGGTTACAAATAGAGAGAACTGGATCTCACTAGTGTACACATGATATGTTAATAGTACTTCCAAAACTTAACCGGCCTATGAATGTTCCAATTTTTTTTATTCATTCGTGGGATGTGGACTTTGATGGCTGGACCAACCTTTATCACTCATCCCTGTTTACCCATGAGAAGGTACTGGTGGCTTGCCCTCTTGAACTGCTGCAGTCTATTTGGTGTAATAGACACACACTGCTGTTAAGGGGAGAGTTTCAGGATTTTCACCCAGCAACACTGAAGGAGCAGCAGTATTTCCAAGTCAGGATGATAGTGATTGTGAGTTTGAAATATGCAGTCTAAGGAGCTCGGTGCATTTCTGCAAATGGGACATTGTACACAATGCTGCTACTGAGCATTGGTGATGGAGAGAGTGAATGTGGAGCCAATTAAGTGGGTTGTTTTGTCCAGGATGGTATCAAGCTTCCTTTTTATTTATTCACGGGATGAGGGCATTGCTGGCTAGGCAGCATTTATTGTCCATCCCTAATTACCCAGAGGACAGTTAAGAGTCAACCACATTGCTGTGGGTCTGGAGTCACATGTAGGCCAGACCAGGCAGGGGTGGCAGTTTCCTTCCCTAAAAGGACATTAGTGAACCAGATGGGTTTTTCCAACAATCGACAATGGATTCACAGTCATCACTAGATTCTTAATTCCAGATTTTTTTTTATTGAATTCAAGTTCCATCATCTGCCATGGTGGGATTGGAACCCAGGTCCCCAGAATGATGTCTAGGTCTCTGGGTTAACAGTCCAGTGATAATAACACTAAGCCATTGCCTTCCCCAGCCTTCTCATGTGTGGAGCGGCAGTCATCCAGGCAAATGAGTATTCCATCACATTTCTGACTTGTGCCATGCAAATGGTGGATAGGCTTTGGTGGAGGGGGGTCAAAGGGGAGTTTCATGCTGCAGGATTCCTAGCCTCTGACCTGACCTTGTACTGCATTATTTCACTGGCTAGTCCAGTCAATTTCTGCTCAATGGAAATACACAGGATATTAATAATGGGGATTCAGTGATGGTAATACCACTGAATATCAAGGGCCAATGCTGGAATGTTACTTGCAACTTTACATCCCAAAATGACTAATCTCCAGGTTGTCATGCTGAGCATTGTGGAGTCATCAACGAATGTCACCATTTCTGACCTAACGATGAAGGAAAGGTCATCGAAGCAAATTCTGACCTAATGATGAAGGAAAGATCATTGAAGCAAAACATGGTTGGAGCCCAGACATCTGGAGACAAGACAACTGACTGAAGAAGGATCTAGGCCCGAAACGTCAGCTTTCCTGCTCTTCTGCTGCTTGGCCTGCTGTGTTCATCCAGCTCTACACCTTGTTATCTCCAACAACCATAACCATCTTTTGGTTTCCTTGTGGCTCCAACCAGTGGAGAGTTTACCCCAGATTCCCATCAATTCCAGTGATTATTAATACTAGATTCTGTTCATTGCAGCCTTGATGACAAGGACAGCCCCACTCTACCTTCACCTTACCTCTGGAATTCGGGTCTTTTTTCCATGTTTGAACCCAGTCTGTAATGAGGTCAGGAGCTGAGTTGTCTTGGCGAAACTCAACCTAAGTGTCTGTGAGCAAGTTATTATTAGGGAAGTGCTGCTTGATAGCTGTATTGATGATACAGTGTCTCACTTTCTTGATCAAGAGTAGAGTGATGGTATGGTAGTTGGCTAGATTGAATTTGTCCTGCTTTTTTAATACACCCGGATATGCTTATGCAGTTTTCCATGTTATCCGGTAGATACCAGTGTGGAACATTGCCTGGCATGTCCTGCTGCAATTATGCTGTGCAATTATTACCTCAAAATGTGCATACAAACATTTTACAACCAACTTTGCACAATCTCATGCAGTAAATTCTGTGTGATGCCTTGGGCTCTGCACATTTGAAAATGGCTTTGAACTAACTGTACCGTTATATAGTAATTAGTGAACTCAGTTCAGCTCTTTGTAGGATAACGGTTAAGTGTGTGTCTGCCTGCAGCCAGTCCAAGTTCCTCCAACCACAGAATTTACTGCTATTGTTTTGTTGAGGTGGGCAGTTACTAACTGCATATCTTCCCAAGGTCATCACCTGGGATCATCTGGTGTGTTTCCTGCAGTTAATTCAGATGGCACTAGATGCAGTCTGGAAGCAGGCATAACGAACAGTGCTCAAGGGATGTCAAAAATAGGGAATGTAATAGAAATAAAGAACTGCAAATGCTGGAAATCTGAAGCAAAAGCCAAATATGCTGGAGAAATTCAACAGGTCAGGCAACATCTCTAGAGAGAAAAAGAGTTCATGTGTATAGTCCAATGATCTTTGTTTACAACTGGAAATTGAAAGTGATAAGGTGTTTTCCTCCGATTCTAAAATTGCTGATTTTCTTAGCATTTCAGACTAACATGTTAAGATATTTTGCACCTAATAAGATTTGATCATTATTTTGCAGTTAGCTTTCCAGTGAAGGTTTGGCTTATTTCATTTTTATTAAAATGTGCAATAGTTCTCCCAATCTCTGTTTCTAGGTCAGAAGACTTGTCTCCATTTGCATGGCACGTTTCCATACCTTTACGTTCCATATGATGGTTGCGGGCAACAACCAGAACGGCATCTTCGTCAACTCGCTTTCAGCATCGACCGAGCACTAAATGTATCACTAGGCAATCCTTCCTCCAGTGTGCAGCATGTGTTCAGGGTATCACTTGTATCCGGGATGTAAGTGAAATCAATTATCTTGCAACAGGTGTTGTATGTTGGTTCATTGAGTTTGTGCAGTAAGTATGTATAAATGTCAATATTAATTTCTCCATTTGACTGTGCTTTTCATATCAATAACGCAGTTCTACTGGTGATAAAGATATTTTGTATGTCAAAATTATGTTAAAATTTGGAACAAAAAATGTATTTATAACCATTCTAAGTAGCTGATCTAAATGAAGGCTCAGGATCAGGGTGCAAATTTTTAGTATGCGCATATGCAAACCAAAGTGTTACACTTAATGCTTACTGCTTTACTGCACTAAACTGGAGACGATATACAGATTTGTAAACAGTTGAAGGAAACAAGGGCGATTTCTTCTTATAACTGTAGTTGGTCACCTAAAGTGGTAATTATTTTTAGAAAAAACAGCATTGGAATCTTGTTATTTTATTTCCCAAAAGTGAATTAGATCTTTAAACTTGCAGCAAATAAGATGTGCACTCTAGCCACAACAGCAGCACCATGCCTGTTTCGTGCTGGGACTCTCATTTCAATTGCTGAAGGCAACTAGCAGCATGCTGGGTTACAGTACATTTCTAGCATTTTTTTTGCCTTTTGGTGGTTTCTAATATCTGCAGTACTTTGCATATGTGATGATGTGGAATTATTTTGGATGTGTTGCCAAGAGGTAGCATGTAGATGAAGAGGAGGGGCTTGAATATAATTCCTTGGGAGACAGCCGTGCAGGACCGAGATGTTCTGGCCTTGATTGGATAGTCAAAAATGCAACCATTTGAAGGCAGATCTACTGTGCAGGACAGCGGGCAATGGGTACAAGAGAAGGGTAATGTGTGGTTTTGAAGGCTGCAGAGAATATAGGAGTATATATAAATATGTAATTAGGGCTGTTTTTGTTCTGGAGCAAATATCTGATGGAAGAGAATTAAATGCTGAATTGCAAGAAAATAAGCACATGTTTCACATGTGACTTCATATTCAAGGACTTTTGAAAGGAAAGGGAGGCATGAAATGGGTTGTGATGGATGTTGTAAAAGGGTGGAAAGCATGACCTGATGAGAGAACAATTTTAGAATGTCCACTAACATTGGTACAGGCTTAAGTGTGATTTTAAGTGATTGGAGGAGAGGTTATTCTTGGTGGATACAGACCTACTTTAGAATGCAAGCTTCATGTGCCTGAGAAGCATTAGAAGTGGCAGATAACCTGATGTATGTTAGAGTTTTAGTTATATATTTATAGATTAAGAAAATAACTTTGACAGTGTTATATCACATCTTGTAAGAATCATATTAATTGAGCATTTTTTTCAAGATTGGACAAAATTGTTTTGGTTGATGTTTTAAGGCAGATTCTTGTAAGAAACTTTACACTTGTTAACTTCTGCATTGGGCTAAAATTTATTTAGCGTTGTGGTTTTTGTGTTAAACCATAAAATGTTCCATTTGTAATGTTGAGTTCTGTACAAAGTGAGATGGTGTATAAACCTATTTATTTTATAGTAGCAGGCTTGGCAGAGTTGGGGCCATTTTGCAGTTTGTTAATTTAAGCATCTTTTTGCACTGATAACCCTGGTTCCTTATTTCGTTTTCCTCCTTGTCCTAATTTCTCCTTCCTTTTTGTTCCCACATTCTCTTGCCCTAAAGAATTTCTCATAAACATTGCACACCACTTTGCACAAAATGGTTAAAATCATATTGTTGTTTTGCAGGCCATTTTATGGTTTTCACGAGAAAGAAAAACAATTCATGAAGATTTACCTATACAATCCTTTGATGGTTAAAAGGTATAGTTAAATTAGCTAGGTATATGCTGTGCATGTTTCTTCACAGTTGAACTCTTTAACCATTGCATAAGTATGGAACATTTCTATATCTGAATGAATATCATGGATGTGAGATAGGCAAAACATTTTACCAAGTGACATTGTTACTTCTATCTGTCCTGAGAAATTCTTTTACTTAGACTTGTTTTTCTACTATCGCAGTCAATTTTTTAAGTAATCCTATCTATGAGGATAACAGTCCAAGTAATGCTCCTTGCCATATAAAGAATGCTGTGTCTTGCGTAACTCATCGTGCGAATTTCCCATTGCACCTTGATTGTCTTTTTTATTAAAAACAGACACTTTCCATTCCATTGAGCTGCACTTGAGATTCATAAATTCAAAACTCAAATGAGTTGTTATAAGGATGTAGTTCCTAGTAGATGTGGCACATCCTTATTGCACATAATTTTTGTCCATTTAAAACAAAAAGACTTATGAAGTGGAATTCCTAATTCTAATTTGAAATTTTTGTCTTCTGGATTGTACTCTTATAAATTCATCAATATTTACAGCATTAGGATTTTTGTTTAAAAATATCTGAGTAAACTTCAAAAGACTGGATTCATAACTTGTTTCTGGTTCAACACTTTGCTGAGATTCTGTATGGATCAGCAAACATGGTAACAAAGTGGGGTCAAAGAGAAGTTTTATGTGGGTCATGAGAATAGGCTTTAATAGGGATGCAATTTCAGTCATTGGGGTAATGAAAGTCAAGGGAACTCTTACCAGTGATTGGGCAGACTAAGACATGGAAAGAGTTAATCAGAGTAGTGCAGAACTGAAAAATGTTAGAGGGGAAGGAGTGCAGCCATGGAGAGTTTGGAAATTGAGAACTTTTAAATGTGGCTTTAGTTGAGAGGGATCTACTTGGCTTCATAAACAAGTGGTGACTTATTAAGGTGACGTGATGTGGAATAAGACTAGCAGCAGTACAGATGAGCTGAAATTGATGAAAGGTAGAAAATGGATGATTATCCAGGAGATCCTTGGAATAGTCTAAGTTGTGTGTAACAAAAGCATGGGTAATGGTTTTGGCAGCCGGGATGGAGATGAACAAAATTACCTGAATTGGAAATGGGTGGACCTTTGTGGTACAAGATAGATATGGGATTGGAATCTCAACTCATCTAAATAGAACGTCAAAACTGGGAGAGTTTAATTTAGCTAAAACAGTGCATAGTGAGTGAAATGGAGTCTGTAGCAGGTATCAAAGGTTATGACTTTACTCTTCCCAATATTTAATTGGTGAAGATTGCAGCACATCCAAACTGGATGCTGGAAGAGAAATCTTACACAGAGGCAGAGTGGAGTCAGGGAAGGTGATGGTGTGATGGACCTGCTGTTGTCTATGTCCATGTATATGTGCAACTTGGCCTTGCGCCTTTGCATGATGTTGCTGAGAGATGGTATTCCGCTGAGAAATTGCAACTTCACTTGGCAGTTCTTTTCAGGCATTTTCTGGCAATAAAAGAAGCCTCTGCAGAGGTTACTTGACAGTCTAAGTAAGATTAAAACAAGGCAAGGCAGTCCCATTCAGCTGTGAATGGTGTAAATATGTAACTGAATCTATAATTGTTCATAGAATTTCAGTGTGCCCAGAAAATGCTTTTTAATTTGCCTTGCATGATTTATTTCCAGTCCATCTTTGACTTTCTAATTGGTAATTTTAACTTCTTAAAAAAAGATATAGATGAACTAGTGTTATGCTATGCAAATTGCAATCAGTTAATTTTTAAATTAGACAAAATTGACACCGAGCCAAAGCTGAATTGTATCATTAATTAATGCTGAAAATTAAACAAATGTTTGAGATTGAACCTTTTGAGAATTATATTTGGAACCAGCCCAGACAGATGTTAAGAGATTCTTCATTTCTGGTTTGAGAATCTTGTGATATGAATTTGGGCAAAGTCACTTTACTTCTGTACAATCTTTCAGCTGCTGCACATTCTTAATTGGATTATGACCATTCTAATTGGAGAAGCTAGCAGGATAGATAATGCAAAAAGGGATATCCTGATGTATAGTGAGTGTTCAGGGAAAACTTTTCTTTTTTTTGGAAAATTAAGTTAGTGAAAGTTTGAAAGAAGTGGTAAGTGATTCACATGTAGCCGCAGCAGGCGGCAAATGATATGTTGGCCTTCACAGTGAGAGAATTTGCGTGCAGGAGCAAGGAGACTTGCTGTATTTGTACAGAGTCTTGATGAGACCACATCTGGAGTATTGTTGTAGTTTTGGCCTCCTTTTCTGAGGAAGGATATAATAGTTATGGAGGGAGTGCAGCAAACGTTTACCAGACTGATTCATCAGATGGGAGGACAGATGTATGAAGAGAGACTGGATCGGTTAGGAATATATTCACAGAAGTTTAGGAGAATGAGGCGGAATCTCATAACCTGTAAAGTTCTAACAGAACTAGACTATAAGTACAGGAAGGATGTTCCTGATGACCTGGGAGTCCAGAAGGAGGATCATCGTCTAAATACAAAGTAGGCCATTCAGGACTGAAGAGGAGAAATTTCTTCAGCCAGAGAGAGGGGAGCCTATGGAATTCTCTGCCATAGAAAGTGGTTGAGGCCAAAACATTGAATGTTTTCTAGAAGGAATTAGATATAGTTCTTTGGGCTAATTGGATCAAAGCAGATGGGGCAACAAAGAGGGAACTAAATTGGATGATCAGCCACGATCACTTTGTGTGGTGGAACAGGTGTGAAAGGGTGAATGGCCTGCTCCTCCTATCTTGTATGTTTATGATTTATAACTAGCATGGTGTTCACAGGAAAATTTTCCCTAGTTTTTTTACGAGGCTGCAATATCTGCAATAACTAAACGATACAGCAATATGCTGTCAATGTTATGTAACACTGAGATTCCACGGGCATTATTATTTGTTCGGATAGACTACAACTCAAAGTTTTTTGTGTTGCTTCTTAGGGTCTGTGAGTTGTTACAAGGAGGAGCTGTTATGAACAAATCCTACCAGCCATATGAAGCTCATTTACCTTACCTCCTGCAACTCTTCATTGATCATAATCTGTATGGCATGAACTTTATTCACCTTGCAGCTGTAAAATTCAGAAAAACGCAGAGAAAAGGTAAAACAGTCAATGATGATTAGAAAAGAGTTTAATGTAAGCATGGAAGTTGACAAAAAGCAATAACCAATCATTGTTGATAACACTGAATTTTTTGTTTTAAATAATGTACTTCTCAATTTCAATGTTGGTAAAAATAGGTGTCTTTATAGAGTGCAGTTGTCCGAAGTTTATGCGTGGATTGTCTCTACACATTGGTAAGGGACAGTGTATGAAGTTGAAGCACCCAGAAGCTAACACAAATTGAAAAGTTATCAAAATTTCAATGCAGCTGATATGAAAGTACATGTTTGAAAGCTGCTGAGCAGGTTCAGTCCTTGCCCAGTTAAGCAGCATTTGTTTTTAAGTAAATTTACACCCCACAATGTGTAAACAGTCCCAACCAAATTGTTCTATGTTGGAAGAACCTCTTGAACTTTTTCAGGTAACGTTGATGAGTGGAGTTGAACGGAGTACCAAAGAAAGCATAATCAGTAATTGCGCTTTTGCAGTGTCTAACAAATGCACTGGCTCCAATTCAGCTTGGTAATTCTACATCACCCCTTAGTTCCACGGTTTAAGTTGATCAGAAAAAGATTTTAGAACTGTGATCTGGCTTGGTAATCCTAGCACTAATCATTGAGTCATAATTTCTTGCAAGAGACTCCAGATCTTATGCTGGCTTCAGAGGGTGTAAATAGAGATGGTAACCTCAAAACCACAGAGGTGGGTGCAAGAAAATGACCAGTCAGACCACACTGAAGTCCTTTTGTGCATCCTGTCAGTTGGGAGTTCTGATGTAGCACCTGAAGACAGGGTAGGAGACATTTGAAAAAATTATGATGATAGGGAACAAAATGGGAAGAGAAAATATAATATCATTACTACGGACAGAGTAATGATTAGGATGTAGAAGAGTTCATTAAGCTCTGTGCTGAAATTATTTCTTTTGTGTAAAATAAGATTCCAGTCTATATGAAACGTCCCTTGTTACACAAAGTAATTTGGTTGTATTATAGATAGTAGGAACTGCAGATGCTGGAGAATCCGAGAC